ACAAAAAGAATAAAATATCTAGGAATAAACCTACCTAAGGAGACAAAAGACCTGTATGCAGAAAATTATAAGACACTGATGAAAGAAATTAAAGATGATACAAATAGATGGAGAGATATACCAAGTTCTTGGATTGGAAGAATCAACACTGTGAAAATGACTCTACTACCCAAAGCAATCTACAGATTCAATGCAATCCCTATCAAACTACCACCGGCATTTTTCACAGAACTAGAACCAAAAATTTCACAATTTGTATGGAAACACAAAAGACCCCGAATAGCCAAAGCAATCTTGAGAACGAAAAACGGAGCTGGAGGAATCAGGCTCCCTGACTTCACACTATACTACAAATCTACAGTAATCAAGACAGTATGGCACTGGCACAAAAACAGAAAGATAGATCAATGGAACAGGATAGAAAGCCCAGAGATAAACCCACGCACATATGGTCACCTTATCTTTGATAAAGGAGGCAGGAATGTACAGTGGAGAAAGGACAGCCTCTTCAGTAAGTGGTGCTGGGAAAACTGGACAGTTACATGTAAAAGTATGACATTAGATCACTCCCTACCACCATACACAAAAATAAGCTCAAAATGGATTAAAGACCTAAATGTAAGCCCAGAAACTATCAAACTCTTAGAGGAAAACGCAGGCAGAACACTCTATATGACATAAATCACAGCAAGATCCTTTCTGACCCACCTCCTAGAGAAATGGAAATAAAAACAAAAATAAACAAATGGGACCTAATGAAACTTCAAAGCTTTTGCACAGCAAAGGAAACCATAAACAAGATGAAAAGACACCCCTCAGAATGGGAGAAAATATTTGTAAACGAAGCAAGTGGCAAAGGATTAATCTCCAAAATATACAAGCAGCTCATGCAGCTCAATATCAAAAAAACAAACAATCCAATCCAAAAATAGGCAGAAGACCTAAATAGACATTTCTCCAAAGAAGATATACAGATTGCCAACAAACATATGAAAGGATGCTCAACATCACTTACCATTAGAGAAATGCAAATCAAAACTACAATGAGGTATCACCTCACAGCAGTCAGAATGACCATCATCAATAAATCTACAAACAGTAAATGCTGGAGAGGGTGTGGAGAAAAGGGAACCCTCTTGCACTGTTGGTGGGAATGTAAATTGGTACAACCACTATGGAGAACAGTATGGAGGTTGCTTAAAAAACTACCATATGATCCAGCAATCCCACTCCTGGGCATATATCTGGCAAAACCTAGAATTTGAAAGGATACATGCACCCCAATGTTCACAGCAGCTCTATTTACAACAGCCAAGATATGGAAGCAACCTAAATGTCCATCAACAGAGGAATGGATAAAGAAGATGTGGTACATATATACAATGGAATATTACTCAGCCATAAAAAAAGAATGAAAAAATGCCATGTGCAGGGCTTCCCTGGTGGCACAGTGGTTGAGAGTCCTCCTGCCAATGCAGGGGACGCAGGTTCATGCCCCGGTCTTGGAAGATCCCACATGCCGCGGAGCAGCTGGGCCTGTGAGCCATGGTTGCTGGGCCTGCGCGTCCGGAGCCTGTGCTCCACAACGGGAGAGGCCGCAGCGGTGAGAGGCCCGCGTACCACAAAAGATAAATAAATAAATAAATAAATAAATGCCGTTTGCAGCAACATGCATGGACCTAGAGATTGTCATACTAAGTGAAGTCAGACAGAGAAAGACAAATATGGTATCACTTATATATGGAATCTAAAAAAAATAATACAAATGAGCTTATTTACAAAACAGAAATGGACTCACAAACTTCGTAACTTATGGTTACCAAAGGGGAAAGGCTGGGGGTAGGGAGGGATAAATTAGGATTTTAGGATTAACATATACACACTATTATATATAAAATAGATAATCAACAAGGACCTACTGTGTAGCACAGAGAACTCTACTCAATATTCTGTAATAACCTATATGGGATAAGAATCTGAAAAAGAATGGATATATGTATAACTGAGTCACTTTGCTGTACATCTGAAACTAACACAACATTGTAACTCAACTATACTCCAATATAAAATAAAAATTAAACTTAAAACACTGTACTAGTTTCAGGTGTACAACATAATGATTCAATACACGCATGCATGAAATAGTGTTAATGGTAAGATGACCACACATGCTACTAGCGTAGAGCAGACCCCTTTACACCTGTAGTCCCAATGAACTAATTAAAAGCTCCCTATTGTTTGCAAAAGTGTCCTTATTTGGACAATAAATTTTGCAGCCACCTAGCTAGAAGAGATGAGAGACAAGTTTCTATAAGATACAGGAGGGATGCCCATGAGGAAGAGGCTGAGCTACCTGCAGGCAGGGACATGAGGGCTCTCAACAGATCCTGGGATTGATCCTGAGAATGAGGCAGTGTGTTTACTGGGCAGAGAAAGGGAAAGGGCGCTCTGTGTGTGATGGCCAAGGGGCAGGGATCAGCAGGGGCACCGGACCACGGAAGATTCTGATATGTCTGGGCAGCAGGGGAGGGATGAGGGTTGGAGAAGGCAGTCAGGGGGTTCCTGACTGAATCAGGGGCGTTCACGGTAGCTGAATCCTAAAGGCTTCTGTGTGTTGGGCTGGGGAGTCTGAACACATCCTGCTGGTAATGATGACATCACAGCAGATAGTTTAGGTTAGATTTGTGATTTAGAAAAACAAACATGTCTGTTAAAACTTGAATTTCTGAGTATTTACCGATTTGAACCAACTTTTAAAAAATTACATCAGTGTTAGAATTATTGGAACAATTATCTTCACCATCACAATTTTAGAGCTTTTTATTGGATGGTTATTTAGTTCTAGGCATTAGGCAAGGCAGGTTACATACACTGCCTCAATTAATCTTCACAACAGCCTTTTGAAGTTAGCCTTAGATCTGATTCCCATGCACCCGAAATTCTGAGTGGGGGAATCACCAAGAAATGTTCAACCTTCGAAAATAAATAAGCAGTAATTTCAGGTTAGCACATTTAATAACGTTTGCAGAAATGTTTTGATTTTCTCGCTAGTCCTTCCGAAGCCCGGCCAGGAGTCAGGGTTTTCTCAGACGGTTGCCACCTGTCTGTTGACACCAAGGTTATCCTGATAGCCTGCGAGTAGGCTCTATGGATTCCTGTGCTTCCTCAGGAGCTACTTATTCTGTAATTTTAGATGAAACCAGGAGTAAGAAAAGTTGTTTAATAACTGAGGATCCCACAGATAAAGAAGTGAAAGTTTTTGCAAAGAACAAAGGAGCCAAATGGAGGTTCAGTTGGACAGGGATGCCCAGCTCCTCTCTCAGTAACTGCTCGTAAACAATACAGAGCAAGGCCCCCAAGTTAAAGAATGTTTTGGTGCAGGGACTTCGCAGGCAAGGACTCTTGTAAGGAAGCTCTAGAATAATGGGGCTGGGCTAACGTCACCTGTGACTCCACCTGGCATTGTTAGTGACTTCAAAATTTATTTTATAAATTTTAAAAAATTTATAAACTCAACTGTTACGTATTTTCACTTAGACTGTTGCCTAACTGTTCATGTTCATGTAATACCCCAAGGTAGGGAGGCATAGCTAACATTTTTCCTCTCGACTGGAATGCATCTTTTGCTTTGTCTTTTTTCCTTAGAAGAAAATTATTTTAATCTAAGCATTATTTAATTACATTCAGATGGCCAACAGACACATGAAAAGATGCTCAACATCACTAATTATTAGAGAAATGCAAATCAAAACTACAATGAGGTATCACCTCACACTGGTCAGGATGGCCATTATTAAAAAGTCTACAAATAATAAATGCTGGAGAGGGTGTGGAGAAAAGGGAACCCTCCTGCACTGTTGGTGGGAATGTAAGCTGATACAGCCACTATGGAGAACAGTATGGAGGTTCCTCAGAAAGCTAAAAATAGAATTACCATATGATCCAGCAATCCCATTCCTGGGCATATATTCGGACAAAACTATAACTCAAAAAGATACATGCACCCCAGTGTTCACAGCAGCACTATTCACAACAGCCAAGACATGGAAATGACCTAAATGTCCATCAGCAGATGAATGGATAAAGAAGATGTGGTGCATATACACAATGGAATACTACTCAACCATAAAAACGAATGAAATAATGCCATTTGCAGCAACATAGATGGACCGAGAGATTACACTAAGTTAGACAGAAAGAGAAAGACAAATACCATATGATATCACTTATATGTGGAATCTAAAATATGACACAAATGAACTTATCTATGAAACAGAAACAGACTCAAAGACATAGAGAACAGACTTGTGGCTGCCAAGGGGAAGGGAGGGTGATGGAGGGATGCAGTGGGAGTTTGGGGTTGGTAGATGCAAACTAGTAGATACAGGATGGATAAACAACAAGGTCCTACTGTATAGCACAGGGAACTATATTCAACAGACAAACCGTAACAGAAAAGAGAAGAAAAATAAAGAGTATTTGATTTTACCTTACATAATTCCTTATTTAATGCTCTTCCTTTCTTTATATAAATCTAAGTTGTACCTTATCATATTCCTTCTCCCAGAAGAACTTCTTTTAACATTTCTTGCAGAGTCCGCTGTTTTTGTTTGTCTGATAAAATATTTCTCCTATACTTTTGAGGTATAATTTTTGCTGGATATAGAATTCTACACATTACTCTATATAAAATACATAAAAAACAAGGGTCTACTCTATAGCACAGGGAACTATATTCAATATCTTGTAATAACCTATAATGGAAAAGAATCTGAAGCTGTACACCTGAAACTAACATAATATTGTAAATAAACTATAGTTAAATATAAAAAATGTGTAACTATGTATGGTGGTGATGTTAACTAAACTTATTTGTGGTGATCATTTTGCAATATATACAAATATTGAATCACTATATGAAATATAATGCTATACATAAATTATACCTCAATTTAAAAAATAAAGGACAAAATTTTTTTTAATTAAAAAAAACACGTTACCAGTTTTAAGGAACTGAACCACTGCGTAAATCCAGAGATTTGTGGATGAGGAGGCAGACTCAGAAAGTAAATCCCTTGGTCTGAAAGCAGCCAGGTCTCTGACTTCAAATCCCTTAACCACTTAAGGAAGCAGGTCACTTGAACATTAGAAAGTAGGAAAATAAAAACAAAGTTTAAGTTAAAAACATAAAGGTTAAGTGAAGAGGAACAAGAGTCAGAAATTCTTTACATTTTAGAATATCTAGTAGCTCCTCCACATGATGATATGTGAATTCTTATGATTATTTACTGGTCACGGTCTACAATTACACTGTTTTTAAGGGATGCCACTTAATGATCATTTAACTGAAAGTCCCTGGAGTTACCTGTGGTCATGAGATGTCAACAGACTTGACAGGTCACAGCTGTCTGCAGATCACTCGTCTGTGGGTAAGCTACAGCTAGAGATGAGTCACTAGACCAGTATCACGTCCCAGGAAAGAGCGGTGGGATACTGTGATTTATAATAAGAGAGGGGCTGGGGGTCGAATCAATCACCAGCAGTCAGTGATTTAATCAATTGTGCCTATGTGGTGGGGCCTCCAAAACACCCCAAGGAGGGTGTTGGGAGAGCTGCTGAGTTGAGGGACACGTGGACATGCTGGGAGAGGGGTCACTCTGAGAGGGACGGAAGCTCCTCGCCCTCCCCAGGCCTTGCCCTACACACCTCTTCCATCTGGCTGCTCCTGAGTTATACCCTTTTATGCTAGATTACCAAATCTAGTTAAGTAAAATCCTTCTCTGAGTCCTGTGAGCCACTCCAGCAAATTAATTGAACTCAAGGAGGGGGTCGTGGGCACCTCTGATTTATGGCTGGTTTGTCAAAAGCACTGGTGACAACCTGCACTTATGATTGGCATCTGAAGTGGAGGGGGCAGTCTTGCAGGACTGAACCCTTAACCTGTGGGATCTGATGCTCTCTCCAGCTAGGCAGTTATCATAATTGAGTTAGAGTGTAGGAACCCAGCTGGTGTTGCAGAATTGCTTGATGGGTGGAAAACCCACCTGCCTGGTGTCAAAGTGAAGTAGTATAACAGAGCATGTTAAAGTAAGGAGACACTGCATTCATTGCGTTAATACAGTTCGCATGCTTTTTTGAAGGACATGTATGACAAGTCTAGGGCCTTTTGGAAAATCTAAATTGATTAGACAAGAAAATAAAGATCACAAACATTTGTAGTTATTCAAGAGAAGAAAGTAAACAAGATGAGAAATCCTTGTGTAGTGAGTCAATATTTTGAAATAGTAATCTCTCTCTTTCCTCCCTCCTCCTCTTGTCCCTTCCTTTCAATTAAATTACCTCATTCTTTACTAATTGAATCAAGGAAGGGATGTGACAGCAAGACAGAGAAAAAAGAGCCTCTTCCAGGTTTCTGAGTTTCCAGAAACAAAGCTTTCAGGCATCGCACCAGGGGTTCTAACTATGCAGCTTCTTCTCACCCCTTAGGGGATATTTGAAAGGCGTTGTATACTAGTTGGGGGGTAGGTGTTTTTCACAACAACCGGGGACATTATTCCATCATCTGAAAATAGTGGGTGAGGCCAGGGATGCTCTAAAGAGCGGGGAAAATCCTGCAGGACAAGGAAGGGCTGACCCCAAGTGCCAAGAGCACCTCTCTTAGAACTCACTGACAGGCAAGGATATGGAGAAACTGGAACCCTGTGCATTCAGCCACTCTGGAAAACAATATAGCAGTTCCTCAAAAATTAAACTTAGAATTACCACATGACCCAGCAATTTTACCTCTGGGTATAGACCCTTCCAAAAATTGAAAGCAGGGACCCAAATAGATACTTGTACAACAGTGTTCATAGCAGAATTATTCATGATAGCCAAAAGGCGGAAACAACCAAAATGTCCATTGTTGCACAAATGTGGTCCATCCATACAATGGAATATTATTCAGCCTTAAAAAGGAAGGACATTCTGACACAGGCTACGGCACGGATGAACACTGAAGACACTATGCTGAGTGAAATAAGCCAGACACAAAAGGACACATATTGTACAGTTCCACTTGTATGACGTACTTAGTCAAATTCATAGCGACACGAAGCAGAATGCCGATTCCCAGGGGCTGGGGGTGGGGAATGGGGAGTTAGTGTTTAACGGGGACAGAATTTCAGTTTGGGATGATGAAAAAGTTCTGGAGATGGAGAGCAGTGATGGTCACACAACAATCGGAATGTACTTAATGCCACTTAAAATTGGTTAAAATGATAAATTTTATGTTATATGTATTTTACCACAATTAAAACAAAACAAAACTCACTCAGGGGCAGAGGAGACCTTGAAAGCAAGTCTTTTCTGCCCTGAGGCCCATAAAAAGATTCCTAGGCTGGGAGAAGCAGCAAGGGAGGCCAGCAGGAGAGGCAGTGATGGGTTTCTGAGAAAGGCCCTGCTCGCTGTTCTTGGGGAATGGTCAAAACCTTCACAGATCTCAGAAGGGGAAACTTGGACCACGCTTCCTGGTACAGCCCTGAGAATGGCAAGAATTTGGAAGAGGGACAAATATGGCTCTGTGCCATGTCTTGGCCACCCCAGGTCTTAGCCTCACAAAATCCCCAGGCCCCAGTGAGTGTACGAGCAGAAGAACAATTGCTGAGTGCCCAAGAGTGGTGGGGAAGTGGCAGAAAGAGGCACAGGAGCTGAGGGCAGGCAGAGGGAGCTGAAGCGACCTCACAGGATTGAATTCATGACCATGAACAGCCCAGGCTGATGGGCAACTCAGTGTCCCCCGAGCACACAGACACTATGAAGGATCAGATGAGTCCCTCCAGTGTCTTGGCTCTGTGTAAGCCTCCCCGGAATCTGCGTGTGACACCAGAAACCGAGAAAGGTCTTGAAGTGACTGAATGAGGGTTTGAAACAGAACCATAGTTGCACCACAAGGTTACATTTACTGCAGCTGAACCTCCAGCCCTACATGCAAAGCCATCCTCACTCCCTCCAGCTCTCTAAAGGTTACGGAGCCAGTGGGGGCCTTCAGCAGAACATCCTAATTTTCCACTCGTATGAGGACCTCCACCATTAGTGAGTTCAATCGCTATCACTGTGCTTTTCCTCTGTTCACAAAATGTTTCTGCACCGTGTTGGGTGGAGGTGCTTCAGCAGAGCACCCCCCTGCCTACAGAACGCTGCACCCCCAGCCCTTGTCCAAGGCAGCACAGCCCGCCCGGAAGCAGTTTTCCACTGTAGGTGCCTATTTTCTATTTGGGCATGGAGCAAGGAAGTGAGCTGAATGAGTATGATTAAGCTCCTGGCCTGCGATGCTCCCCACATGGTCTTGTTTTTGTTTTTCTTTAAAGGAATGATGTTAAACCCTAGTGGCTCCCCCAAACACCTGGACTTTAGTATCTGAAAATTTAAGATAATTACCGAAACATAATTCCTAATTAATATAGCTTTCATCTGCTCGTATCAATTTAATACGATTATTCCCAGTGTTAATTTCAAGTTCTAAATACAGTCTCCTGTAACAGGCGGCTCACATAGAATCCCACCTCTTCATTTCACTAATTCTACTGCAGATAAGTGTTCCCTTGGCTATTCGGGCAAATCCTTGTAATCCTGGGAATGTGGTCGTTAACTAACTAACCTCTGGTTGGAAAAAACAAATACCAGTCCTGGTCTTCATCACATTTCGATCCTCTATGGAGCCCAGGTTTGGGCAGTTTCCAGTTTTCTGTGTCTCGAGACTTCAGTTGCCTGTAAGGCTTCTGAATTTTGTCCTCCCGGCATGTCTGCTGTGGGGCATCTCACAGCGCTAGCTCAGCCCACCCCAGCACACTCTCGGGCTTGCTCCCTCTCCCTCTCACCCTGGGAATTAAAGGTATGTGCTCTGCAGTCTCAGTAACCTGGCTTTTAAGTGAGACCACAGTACAAAATAATAAATGAGATTTTAAACAATGTTTGAAGTGGGTGCAAGCCACACTGTAGGTTTCCAGACGGATATTCTTGCAGAAGCCATTGTGGAAGATGACGAAAGGCAAATGAATCCCAGATGAGGGCGAAACAAAAACAAATGAAGTAAGGAAAATGAACAGACACAGATTTTAGAAGTGATTTTCTATTCCTAATTAGGTTTGATACACCATGCTTCTTAAAAAAAGAAACAAAGAAGTTACTTCAAGGGACCCCCCGTTGCAGTTCCGGTGTGTGGCTCAATACATTTACGGCCAGAGTCCAGCAGCCATCACACACCTACGGTAACGCCCGCCTTCTTGGTCACGGGGTGCTGCCTGGATCTCATTTCATTACTCAGGACAATATGACATTCATGTCCACAGCACTCTGTGTTGCTCCAGGTCTGAACACAGGCATGGAGTAACCATAAAAGGAATGGATAAGGGGACTACAACACATAGCTCTGGGAACCCACTGATGGCCAATTTACTAGCCCAGGTAGGCACGACCACTGTAAGCTAGAATAGTACCCCAAATGACAAAGACAGGAGCAAGAGAATGAATAATTACCTAATGGCTGACTGCAGACACTGATTTGTTTTCATACTTTTAGGCTGAATATACCAGCTTGATGAAAGCTTTGAAAAACCGAGTATAATTCTTCATTAAAATAAAAAGCACAGTGAGTTATGCTTTTAAAAAAGATTAACTTTAGGGAACTAGATATTTTCATGGCTCCACTGATGACGTGCTAATTGACAAAGGGAAAATGCATCTGGCGAGTTCAGAAAGCTGGGGCTGCAACTAGTCTGCTTATTTTAACCAGTCTACTTTCCTATCTGGATGTGTGTGTAGAATATGCAAATCAAATAAAATACTTATATTTTACTGTATACATCTGAGTTAAATCGTTGTCCAGATTTGGTTGTCAAAAGTTGACTTTGGAAACTGCTAAAATCCACTTCCGATAATAATGAGGTGATTATCAGTTGGGCATGATGAAAACAGCACAGGATTGGGAGCTGTAACACCTATGTGAGAGCCCACTCTCCTATGCTTGTATACTCAACAAACAGTCCTTAGTGTCTTTGGACCTCAATTTCCTTGCTTAAATATGCCAATGGTTAGAATAAAGACTCTTAACTTGGGTTGAAAGGGTCCATGAATCCCCTGAAATTAAACTATTTCGTGTGTATTAGTGTAGAGCCTTTCTCTGAGGAGAGGTGTGGTAGATTAGACACACAAGCAGCAACAACTCTCATCTAAAGGTATTATGTGATTCCCTGTCCCTGGGTATGGGGTGGCCTTGCAACTTGCCCTGACCAAAAGGATGAGGCAGAAGTGATAAGTGATGTTATGTGACTTCTAAACCCTGACCTTGCTGCTTCTGCCCTCGTTCTCCTGGAAGGCTGCCCACCATGTAAACAAGCCCTGGCACCCCAGCTGGCAGCCAGCAACAACCGTTGGGCATGTGGCTGAGGAAGTCCTGGACCATCCAGTCTCAGTTAAGCTAAGGATGACTGAAGCTGCCTGAGGGATCCCAGATGAAACCAGCCAGCTGGGCCCAGGAAAACAGCAGAATTGTGAGCAAATTAATAGTAGCTGCTTTAAGCCACTAATTTCTGGAGTGGTCAGTTACACTGTATTATTTAACTACTCCAAGAGTGTATTACGCTTTTATCGAATTCTCAAGGGTTATGACTTTCTGAATTTGAATTAGATTATTTCAAAGGTTATGCTTCCTTGTCTCTGCTCTCTTTTTTAACTATGTCATAGGTATAATTTAACGTGGCAGTCTTGCATTCAAACTGCATTTTAAAGTAAATTATAGAATTTTTGAACTGAAGAATCAGCAGGTCATTGAGTCTATAGTTCAAAGACGTTTTCTACTTCCCTCTTAAAAAAAAATGTGGAACAGTCCTCAGGCACATCTTACAATCTTCATATTTTTAATGATTAAAGCAATTTCATCTGAAAATTCTATTAATATTTCGGTTTGTTATATCCAAACCAATGTTTCAACTTATTTAGGACAGCGAGCATTTGCTCCTAAGTGATCTTATTCTTCAATCCCTCTTACCAAACTTTGTCCCATCCTTTCTAAAGTGTAACATAGTCTGAGGGAGTGGTCACCTTGTATCTTTACTGCTGACATAACATGGATGAAACGCCATCCCAGCCATGCATGGATTCTACACTTGCTTTTGTTTCTGACAGCCCTCTTCATCATTGGGAATGTTAGCCTCCTTCTGGATTTAGTCTTTCTGACTCTTTTCTCACATGTTCTTGGCAGTTTTTTTATATGCATGCTTGTTTTCCCAGATCATCATTCACACTTTACATACACCATTTAAAAATATATCTGATCTCAACAAACAGCTTCCTGCACAAAGAGAGTAAATCTTCTTGGCTACGTCCTTCCTTTTTCTTCTTCTCCTCCCCACCCCGACCCACCCTCGCTTTGGACCATTTACAACTGTAGCATCAGAAGTTCATTTTGAGGACTCTCCTCTGCTTCTTTTTGGAATCTCAGACCAGGGGGTCAAAGTCAAGCTTTTATAATTTCCTGAGATATTTAAAAACTCAAACTAACCGACTGTATGTCTGGCAGTGACCACATCTCTCTGGAATTTTCTGATGGCCAGGTGGCCCTCTTCCAGGATTCCTGTCACTTCTGATTTTCCCTGCAGAGCCTCTGAGGTGGCCAGAATTAGAAGCAGGGTGTTAATCCTCTTCATCACTTCCTCTCCCTTCTGAAAGATGAAATTATCATGTGGGTTAACTATTCTCAACCTGGCTGCACGCTGGAATCACTAGGGGGCGGGGGCACTTAAAAACAAACAAACCAACGTCTGAGGCCCTACCCTGAGAGATTCTGCTCTCAGGGTAGAATGGGTGGAGCCTGCCTATCCATTTTTTTAAAAAGAAGTCTGGGATTATTCTAACGTGCAGCCGGGGCTGAGAGCACTAATTGAGGTAAATCATGAATTTATCAGAGGTTCTGAGTTTAGAAAATGAGACATCTGGCAGATGCCGGGATAGCTGAAGCCCCCATCATTGAGAGTCCGAATGCTTCTCTTTCCTAATCCATTAATTTTTAACACAGGCAATCTAGTTCTACCATGTCTACACAGGACAATGACAACCAGACTATGATATTACTTTCTGATTGTTGATATTAATCTCAACACAGCTCTAACATCTTTAAACAAGATGAAGCTAGACAGCAAAAAGTCCTTTGAAAAGTTCAGAAAATAGTTGGGGACAGTAGCTTTTCTGAAATTCCAAATAAAGATGAGCTACACTGCTGTGGATGGTTTTCCTTACTAGTTAAGAGAGTAGTTTGACAAAGGAAGTGTATTGCAAATGAAAAAATAAAGCCAAATTTTTTTCTCCTTCTTTGATCAATTTTCAGGATGCTAATTCTGTGTTAGTCAAAAGGCAATTGAGATGTCAAATACATTATATTTTTGAAAAATTCTCTCTCACCATACATCACATATATTACATACTTAGGCTTTACATTTTTTTAAAAAAATTCTAATTGTTATTATCACCAAGTATGCAAATGCAACTTTTCATGAGGCTATTACTCTTTCACAATGGAAACGGCCTTGTTTCTAGTTAGTGGCAGAACTGATTTTGGTGTCATTAGCAGAAGTAGGCTAAGTGTCAGCCAAGCTGGGATGCTGAGGCGTGAACAGCAAGTCAATTCTGAAGGAGCATCTTTTCAAAGGACCTACTGAGGGCACAGCTGCATCTTGGCGACCACAGCACACGCTGGGATGGCACAAGCATGATTACGCGAAGTAGGTGGTGTTAGACACTAGAGGCAGGCAGGGGAATTCAGTCTTCTATGAACTAGAGATGACCAGGGGAGAGCAGTTTTCCTGAATGCTTACTGCAGGAATAGAAGCTGTAGAGTCTAGCTCTAACCTGTTCCAAGTTAGCTGTGTAGAAACTGCTTTCTGCGGACAGAAGTCCAGAGGTATGCTCTGTAGAATCTAAAAACAGAAAGGATGAGCAATATTCTCATGCTGAAATACTGCAACTGCTTTCAATCAAGCAGGCCCTTTTGGAATCACATGCATTTTGTCAATAATTCAGTTTTGCAAACATTTTGCAATATGGTATCATCTGACAAACTCTCAATAATATATATTTCCACTTTCTAAAGAAAGCACATGTAGAAAATGGTGTCAAATAACATGAAAGGGTGTGTTCTGAAACTGTGGACACTAAGAAAACTAGTGTTGCTTCTCTTTCCAACTCTAACTCATGCCACATTGAGCTAGGATTACAGGAGTTGAAAATAATGCATGAGAAGATGGTGGAAAGAAAAAGAAATCTTGACAAAACAAGACAGGGCTAACAGCATAGTGAAAGCAACTGCTACAGGGTTTCCTAAAATTGGTGCATGTAACTCAGACCGAGAGTTATTTTAACATCTCTCTCATTTTACTTAGACATACCCAAATACACACAAATATTTCACCATCTACTGCCAAATATCAACAATGAAAACGATGTACACTTTTGTTCTGTATCAGGGCAAGAACTGCAGATACATGCATAAGTGTTTACAGAAGTTTTAAAAACTCTTAAGTTATATTTCTCCTCCTACCGAAATTGTACAGTCTTTCTAAACAACTCTATTGACTTTCCTGGAGAAAAGAGAAGATTCCCACTGCTTCAAATTAAGGTCCACATATTAGCAGAGGGATTACTGGTTATGACCAATGGAAGACAGATTGGCTGTTCCTTCAATTAGAAGTATGTACATTCACTTTATAAATAGTTTGCCATTGGGAGGCAAGCACTTCAGATCTCAGGTGTGTATCCGTGATTAATTTTTCCACCTCTTTCCTTAGTAGGACAGGAAAAAACATACTTAGTACCCTAATGTTTTGATTTTGCAAGGAATACAACCAACCTCCCGATTTCATGGTAAACCAGGAGGCCTTCCTACTTTGGCACAGTTCAGCCAGGACTGCACAAATGACTGGGATCAAAAGAAGACATTCTGCTTCTTCACTTGAACTGAGTGTGAATTAATTTAAAATGTCAAACTTGATTTCGATAAAAGAGACTTGAAAAACAATACCGTTTGGTTAAGAAAGAGGTTAATGAGGAAAATGTAATCCCCACTCAAATGCCATTGGAATGCAAAGCCACATTTATTTGCATGTGTGGTAGCTGTAAAAGGTCCAAGGAATTTTGTTTTCAGTGTTTTGAATTGTTTATAATGTATTCTCTTTTTATTCCATCTACTAACAATTCCCAGAAATGATGGAAATCAAAAGATGGAAAAACGTAATGGCACTTGGGTTCTAAGAAAATTACCAGTTGCAACATCTGCTCTAGCCACAGTTCATGAAGCAGGTGATTATGGAGACAATAAAGAAAAATGTTATTAAGTCAGTAAAAATCCCTTGAACCTTGCCAATTCTGTGATAGCGCCTTGAAGTCTGACACTCCAAAACAGTCCATGAAAAATTTTGCAACAAAATTTTCACTACTAATGATGCTCATTTGCAAGCACAGAGTTCAGATATTCCAGGCTGTGAGACATAAAACACACTGTACAATTTCTTTGACCTTGTTATGTTTTATTAAAGCATTTACCAAAGTGTCAAATAAAACAAATCTATTATTTAAAAATCAACCCTGGAAAGTCACTGGCTTTTCAACAGACGAGTTTTTCATCGCACTTTTAAGTATTTTTCCGCACGTTTCAGGGCCAGGAACTGCTTCATTAAGAGCACTGGGTTTCAAAACAACGCCATTTCCCCAGGCTCAGCAGCCAGAGCAGAGCACTGTGCTGGGAGCACCGGCCATCAGTTAGCGAGGAGCCAGGCCCTCGCAGACTTGACAGAAAGTCTGCCCTGTTAAGGTTCAGGCCACAGTTCACCTACTATGGAGCTGCTGCTCTATCGGTTAGGATTACCGTTGCTTAAAGTTTTATTTAATGCCCTGATCCATCACTTGAATGGCCTCCTTAGGCTTTCAAATATGGAAGAATGAAAATGAGACAAGAATTAACGTTTTTATGGCCTCTCCTAATATTTCTATTTCTGGCAAATTCTTTCAGATACAGAGAGTGATACAATTCTACAGTGATGAAATCCCTTCAGAAACCTCTCCTATTTCCCTCCCCCGAAGTTTTCAGGGGACAGGACCGCCTGTAGAGTAACTCCCTGCACCCCTTCCTGACCTAGCCCGTTGGTGCATTTGGAAGAACGACCGGCCTTTTTGGGCTAAACCTGGGCTGGGGTGAGAGGTGCAATGTATTAGGCCTCTAAAGTCCCAACCACTTCACAGAAATCAATAAACTAATACAGAATTAATATTTTTTGAAAGTTTTAGCACCATGTCCCTCCTGGGTTCCTGCAGCCAGTCATCACTGCGGCGCTGCCTCTATCTACATCATTGCTGGCATGTAGCAAGAGGGACTAAAGACCAAGTGCAGACCAAGGGCAGTCATTTCCACTCCCACTTCATTGGCCAGAGCAAGTTCACATGATCACACCCAAGTGCAGCAGACGTCTCCTCCTGCAGGGAGGGGGTACGGCGCCCGAGAGCAGTGAGACCAGAGCAACCAAGTCCTTCTGGACAACAATCAGTAAGGGACATATATTCAGTCTTGTCTCTGCTCAGGAAGAACTGCTGAGCCAGAGAATCAGCTCCGGAATAAGAGCTGCAGTTCAGGGCGTTAAGGTGGGGCCAGGCAGCAAGGCAGACGGAGGAAGTGGCCCCAGAGTCCGCCACTGTGGCCAGGATCGGCAGCGCCCATCCAGCACTGCGTTCACACTGAGCCAGGCTGACTTGCTCAAGTCACTTGCTGTTCAGTCTCGGGCTGGAAACCAAAAACTCGCTCTCTTCCCTTAACTAGGGTAAAGGCTCACTGCGGAGTGAATGCCCAGAAATTAGAGCACAGGACAGGACAATATTCAATTAACTAACAAAATGGGCAGAGCAGTCATGGAGCCCTAGAGAAAACGTGTGCCTACACTCTCAAAAAAATTGCTGGTTTTCCTGCTTTGCTGCAAAATCCAGAGAGGGAAGCTGGGAGAAGGGAGGCTTTGTGGTGAGAGAGGCAGAACAAGCTGCGGGTTTCAGGTCAGCAGGCAAGCTCTCCTGGCCCTGGCTCATCACCCCCAAAGGTCCCCCCGCCCAGGACGGTCACCTCACCAGCTGCAGGGTCTACGCCATACTCTGTGCCCAGACCGTCCTCTCCCCATGTCAGTCAGGGCTCAATACAGGAAACAGAAAACACTCCAGATCTTTCAAGCTCAGAGGGATTTAATACAAGCTATCACATGGAAGGGCTGGAGGAGCAGCCGTGAGAGCCCCCATACCCTCTAAGCTGGGGACCAGGCAGCGGGCCATGGGATGCAGCCACTGCCCACACTCATGCCTTCCAGAGCCTTCTTGGGCACCTACACAGCTGAGGAAAGACAGCGTCCTCCTCTTTTCTGCCTTTCAAATCTTATGTGACTGCATTTCATTATCAGAACCTGCCCTGCATCCTGCCTCTGGCTGCAGAAGTTACTGGGAATTCTGGTTTGTGTACCCCAGGCCCTGCAGCACAAGGAGTTCCATCGGCAAGAGCATGGCTCTCCTCCAGGGACAGGCAACCACAGTCCTCAGTGGCTGCCAAGAGTAAGGTGCCCTGGACCCCTCCTCTCCTGAGTCCCCTCAAGATGGAGAGTCCCCAAACTAACCAGTCAGAGCCGCTGTTACTGAGTCACCCTCCTCCAGATGTGATCCCCTGGCAGCCTTGACTGTCAGGGGACTGGCTTGGGGCAGGGGCAGGCAGGCTTCATGGAATTAAGGTGGTATTAAGGCCAAGATCTCAGGAGGGCTCTCCTCTTGCCCTGCCAGTCACCTTCTCCCCCAACACCCTTCTCAAAACAGACCGCTGGTTTGGTTCTCAAGGTCTGGTCCTGGGCCAGCAGCATCGGCATCACTCGGGAGTGTGTTAGAAACGCACCCCAGCCTGGGTGCATCAAAGCTGGCGGGTGGTAGAGCCAAGCAATCTGTAGCTTAACAAGCCCTCCGGCTGATTCTGCTGCACCCCAAAGTTTGAGAACCCCTGCAGTTGGGAATTAGACATTTCTGGAACAAGAGAAAGTGGAAACAATGCCCACCTGATTACTAGGGGTGAACATGGCATACATCTCAGCAGAGGTCTGGTCAGGCTAAGATGGAGCCTGGGCTAGGTCCATTGCCCCAAAGTCCAAATCTACGTCTCCTTTCCCTCTGGTTGACCACGTGGGACAGGGTCAAAGCAATGACCAGCATGTTTGCAGGGGAAGAGAGAGAAGGGAGGCCATACCCAATCTGGATCTGGCTCAGGTAACCAATCCCAGTATCTGGCGTGGAAAAAAGACAGGCCTGGCTGACATTCCAGAGGACAGGCTCCTATACCAGGAAATTGGAGCAAAAGCCAAAGGGAGCCATCGACTCTTAAAACAAAAAACCTACCCCTCTAGTAAACACGGTTTAATCAAAGTCTTGTAGTATCTGCTCCCCTTAGACACTGGGGCGGAGAGGAAGATGAGGGACAGAAGCATTCCTCATGCCCCGTGTCAATCCCTGAGCTCCTAAATTGGTCTAAGACTATTCTACCTGCCCCTGCTAAGATAAGCTAAGACAAAGACTCCCCATTCCAAGACTTCTGACTCCAGCTGCCCCTCCCCCCTCCACACTCAGGTTGAATAAGCAGAATTCTTCTTTGGACTTTGCTGCAGAGGTTCTGTTCCCATCTTCCTGTTGCCACCTTCCTCTCTGAGGCCTGGGGCTCCATCTCATTCTTCCATGCCCATCTTTTTCCCGGGGTCTGAGGCCTGATGTGATCTCTTATCAAGCATTACTTTTGTAACCAGGAAAGAACCCACTGTGCTGAGATTTTAAAAACTGAATACCCACCTCCCGATCTCATTTCCCTGAGGGTCATGCTCAGTGTCAGGTCTACAAGGGGGCATATACCCTCTAGTTCACTGCAGAGCACCAGGAGGCGGCAGGAGCCCCAACCCTGCACCCCAAACTTCAAGAGCGTAACATGGATGGGGACCTTGTTGGATTTTCCTACAACCATAGCTTTCAAACTTCTTTTTACTGTAATCCATGATAAGAAATACATTTTGCACTGCGACTCAGTACACACGTATATATACACGAGAAGAAAGACTTATGAAAGAATATCCTTAACATCCTTCTAACATTTTCCATTCTTTTCTATTCCACTTTAAAAATGCGAGTCAAATCCCATGTTACTGAGTTACTAATGGTTGGCAACCTGTGGTATGAAAAACACTGAAGTCCACACTGTAATAAACTCACCACTGGCACCCCAGAGAAGGCAGCATTAATAGCACACTCTCATTGTGACCAGCATTGCTGAGAGCTCTATGTGTTTGTATGTGTGTTACTGTCATTTCAATTAAAATCCTAAAATCGCTACAGGCCATAATTCCAACTCTGTGCTCCTAGTATTCCAACGAATACAAAAAAATTACTTTTACTGGTTTCATCTTAACTTCAAATTTGGTGATGATTTGAAACAGCGGCACGTGTGGATGGCTAAACTCTCATTACCAGATAAGCAGTTATTTTCTAAGTTTCAACAAACATTTTTGTTCAATGTAGTTTGGTTTAAATCAAGTAAATGGATATAATCGCATAATCGAGTTTCTCTCTTCTCCCTGTTAAATAAAAGCAGTTCAAAGACTGGAAACATTTCAAGGATGAAAAACGGGGTTTGAAAGCTGAAACGTGTGCCTTTCCTAATAGATTCAGACCCTCAGCTGTCATATGAGGGCAGCTGGAAGCCCTCCTTTCACAGCTGGGCCAGTTCTGCCTCTTTCGGACCTGCACCGACTCTGTCCCTCATCTCAGGTAGGCCCAGCACACGACACCGGGGCCTCTCCTGTCCCCGCAGTGTGGGCCCGCGCGTCATCTGCAGCGCAGACAGGCAGACACAGGATGCTGGCAGATTGGAACGGGCTTGCCCTGCTCCGCGCCCTCCTTCCCCAAATCAAAACCCACCGAAAACACCGCCAAGAGCCAGGAAACCTCATGGCGTTAATTGCTTCCATTCCCCAAGCTGCATGTGGCACACAGGACACCTCGTATCCCTCCAGGGGTGCGCAGGGGCGGGCGGAGGGTGCAGGGAGGGAGCGCCAGCCCGGCCCACCCTTCCTCCCGGCTCTGCGCCCTGGGCTCGGGCCTGGCTTGAGGGTTGGCGCCACCTGGCTTTTTCGAGCAAGAGAGGCGGGAGGTCGAGGAAGTGGGCGAGGTGCTACGGCCACTGCGGAGGGAAGGCGCCCCAGGGCGCCCCCCCTTCAAAGCCCTGGGGCGGCCGGGCAGTTGGCAACTGCGCACCGCGGAAAGACAGGCAATTACCCTCCGGGGAACCGAAAACCCAGGAATTTCCCTCGCTACTGATGTTAGAAGAGCGGATTCCACATTTAGGGCAGGCCCGAAGCGCAGAAATAACTGTGGCAACTCAAAGCATTATCAGCACTGGTCAATTTACGCCTTGATGGGCTCTGGCTGGTTTTACCGATCAGCTGTTTTGCGCAAACTTCCTACACTGACCTGCGGGAAAAGAAAGGAGACAGGAGAAGGGGCTCTGATCTCCACGCAGCTGCAGCACTGGAAAGGGGGCAGCTTGTTAAAGGAACCCCCTGTGCCTGGGTTTGTTCACATGCAAAATGGGGAAAACCACATGTTCAGTAACTGCTACAAGTGACCTATGTGAAAATAAAACAAAAGCCCACCGGGAAGTGCTTTCGACGTTACAGCTTTAGTAGAAAAGTACAATCATAGTCGTAATAAAAATGGTAATGGACTCTAACACCCATTCAGAGCTCTATAAATCTGCACTGTTTGTGTGCATGGATGTGAGGAACTCACAGAAGGACAATGGAGGACACTACTACTAAACCTGAACTAGTTATCTAAAGTAATTACCTATCCACCTATTTCAGCTGGCCTTTTAAAGGGGGGAGGATCTAGAGAAAGGTATGTTTGGAAGCTGCTTTTCCATGTAACCATGAAGGTGCACCAACAGACACATGGATGCATGTAACAGGCACACATTACGTGCATGAATGGAAATGTGGACATGCACGGGAAATGTGGGTTTGCATTTATTATAATAATGACTCAGGTACGGTGCTACACAGTTTACTGGAGACTTTGGCATTCACTTTTCATTTAACCCTCACAACATTAGGGGGCATCATTAATCCCCACTTTACAGGTGAAAAAACTGCAGTTCAGAAAAAAATAACTTGCCCCAAATCTTGATGATGAGAAGCTATAATACCAAAGATATTCATTCTAATTCTGGGCCATTCTCATATTCAGCCAACACGTGATGGACACCCACTGTATGCCAGTAAAGCATTGTGGCCACAAAGATTAAAGACCTATTCTACTGCCTTTGGGAACTCACACCTAGTGGAAAAGAGAGAAATGACACTCCTGTAGAATATAAACTCTGTAGTCGGCCTGAGCCCAAAAAGAGCAGACACCCAGGTGGAATCTTGAAGGACAAGGAGAATGACATCCTTCTACCTTATGGATGAGGAGGAAGGTGTGCAGCAGGCAGAGGGACAACACGTGCAGAGACATGAAGGCAAAAGAAACTGGGCTGTTCAACACAGTTCAGCAGAGCCAGGGCTCAGCGTGTGTGAAGGGAAAGTGGTGAGAAAGGAGATGTTATGTGAGGAGCATCACATGCTCGCATTTGGGTTTTCCTGAAGTCTATGCAGAATGAATGAAAGATTTAGAGTAGGGGCATGACATGATCAAACTGCATTATATAAAGATGACACCGGCTGCTGGGAGCACAGATTGGAGAGCACACTGGCAGTAGGAGCAATAATGGAATGACGCAAACTCAGTACCTGTCATCACTGAGGCAGGAGGTAGAGAGGGTGGATTTGAAAGATAATAGGAGGACCTGGGGGGAGTTGCCAGGTTGCGGCCTAGCTCCTGACGGATGGTGGTGCCATTCATAGAGCCTAGGAGAACAGACTATGAGTGTGCAACAGGGACTAAAAACACATTCCGTTCTGAGCGTGACGAGTTTTCAAAATCTAAGTACATCTACTTAGGACGTGAAAATGTCCTCCAGTGAGGGATGGGATATTTGGGTCTAGCACTCCTAGAAGAGGTCTGAATTGTAGAAAAATATGCCATCAACGTCACGTGAAACCATAGAATGGCTAATAAAAACAATAACGGTAATAACGATAATCATTGCTAACATGCATCTAGTTCTTACTACATACGTAGCACTGTGAAAAGCACGTTTAGTAGATTTTCTCATTTAATCCTCATAACCATCTCAGGAAGTATTTGGATTGACTATAGCCCAGGGAGAGGTTTTCATAAAGGAAGAGAAATGGTCCAGAACAGGACCCTGAGGATGAGGTTTAGGAGGAATGGGCAGAGAGCCCTTTGTACTCTGTTGCACAGCTAGAGTTCCAACGAACACCTTACATAATCGCCCAGATTCAAAGGTGGAAGGTGGGTATCCTTGCTCCGGTCCTACCTAGGACAACAGCCTGGAGTGGCTGTCTGGGCTGGGTGGCCCATTGCCACAGGCCTAAGCTCCCTGCTGAGGGAGACCCCCTCAGCCCTGGTGCTATGTGGGGTTCTTTTAGCCTCCAAGTTGTCAAGGTCCCCCAGCCTGCAGGTGAGAGAGGAAGAGGCTGCTTCAGTGCAGAGAAACTGCCTGTTGCGCTACACACCCATGGGAAACACATTACAACTGTTCCTCTGAAACACTCTGGATTCCAGCCAGGCAGCATCAACAGGCTCATCAAGGTCGACCAAGACAGGAGAAAGCACCCACACTTAATTTCCAACATGGCAGACAGTTCCCCACATCCTTATCTCACATCAAGAAGGTGCTTCCCCAAAGCAAGCAAGAGCAGCTTTACCATCTTACTATTAATGCTGGATAATTGCTTTGTTAGCTCTTCCACCTGCACCCAATGTTGATAACTTGGGAGTGTGTTGTGTGAGGGAAAAGGATCAGTGAAATATTAGTCTGAACATTGGCTTTACTTTATAAATTTGTTAATTATTGTTTTGCCTCTTTATTAAGTTTGATCATGGATTTCTACCTCTAAAGAGACTCTAAAGACATGTGAGACTTGTGGCTGTATCCTCATTAGAGGACCTGTAACCTTGGCCCAAAGCTCCTTGTGGGCTCACAGTCCACACAATAGAGCAGGAATGTTTAAAGAAGTGCAGCACAAGTGACACGGTGCTGACTTCCAGTTTTGCTTTAAATTTGTACTCCTGAACCCAAGACTATTATGTTCTGGTCTGGGTATTGCTGTTCTGAATGAGAAGTGGGGTGAGGAGTGTGGATGGCTGGGTGGTAGAAGGAAATATCCTAGAGACTTGACCCATGCTCACCTGGCCCGTCTCCCCAATAATTTTCACAGAGTATGGCACTGAGCAAGACGCCATCCTGGGCTCTCCAGCTGTGCGACCGGGGGAAATCAGCTCTCTGGGCTCGTGTGCTCATCTGCAAGAAGAAGGGGCAGAAGCAGCTCTAAAGAACTATGCAGGTTTAACATTCACTGATTAACTTATTAACTTAATACAGGAATCAGCAGGGTGTCGGTGTTGGCTCTGTTGCTTCTTCATCTGGTAGGGGTAAGGGACTCACTGTATGTTGATACATACAACAGCATCAGAGAATATAAAAACAGAAATTGGGTTTGTGAACCAACAGATTACCAGGATTAAAAATTAATAACATAAGTACATGCGTATGCATACACACAAATATGTAACACACACATGTAATAAAAATTAAAAACGTGTATATAGAGAGAGAAATAAATCCAGAGAAATTGACTGGTCGGGACATGCAGCAGGTTGATGGCAAAGCCAGGTGTAAAGTCCAGATTTTCTAACTGCTTGTCAGGTAAGTTGCCCACCGGTCTGGGTATATAAGCCACATAAGTCACCAGACACTGGAAGATTTGATGAGATTCATGTTTAACCAGCTCCATGTGCGGCGGTGTGTTTCCTTCCCCCACTATCATCAGTAGCGCATTAGAAAAAGCTGCATGTTCTGGCGAAGGCATGGATCTTTTGTTAAATGGGAGCCCCCAAGAATTTACTCCTACCTTTAATACTAACCCTACGTGTAAATGTGCTGAAGGAGAACAGCCTGAGATCATTTTTCAGAGGAGACAGCAATCCATTTAACAGAAGTGGCGAGAAGAGACGAAATGATCCAGCTTGTCCTTCCGCTGAGGGCGGTGAGGGGCAGTGAGCTCTTGGGCATCAGCCTGGGAGAGAGAGCACTTCCCCAGCTCCATCCTAGCCTATGCCCTGGGCTAGTAACTACCTAGTTAGGGCCCAGCTCACCTTCCAGGAAGTTCAGAAGTTGAACCTAGATCATTTTAATGACCCCTCACATTCTGAGATTTCACCTTGAGAAATTCCTGAAGCAAACCGCCTGAACTTTGAGCCAACTGTCCCTTGCCTCTCTCTGCTAGGTTATTTAAAGAACTGCGATACTGGTCTCCTACTGTTTAGCAGTAATAATGATTTTAACATAGCTGTTAATGAGGAAGAGAAGCTTTGCACCTAAATCTTGTTTAGACTGAAGTAAAAAGTAAACTGAAGCCAGGTTTGCAGGCTTTTGCCTTCCCTCCACTTCAATTTTCGTTAACTATTGAAGAGCCCTGACCTAAGGAGAGCAAGGCGCTGAGGCCTGAGGACTCAGCTGGTGTAACGTGACATTAAGGGCTCGCTAACCAGCAGGAAACTTACCTGCTTTTGCAGGTAAAATGCCAGAAGCGACCTGGAGCTTCTGCTCTGGGTCCCGGGCGAGTCACGGCTCTGCGGTCCCCCAGCCCCTTCCCGGGTGAGCATCACATCCCGAAAGGTCGTGGATCGCCTCGCAGCCTCCTCGCGAGCCCGTGGCTCCCTCCCACTGGGGGAGAAAACAAGAAAAGCCTGGGGTGAGGGCGGAGCGGGGATGGACAAAAAGGGAAGGAAGAAAATCCTGCGAAACATGTTTTGGCAAGTCCGGCATTCGGAGACCGCCATGTGCGCTCCATATTGCGCAGCCCCGGTCTTTGATGTTTTTCCTTAAAGTAGAGACATTATTCTTTCTCCAACCGCGCCTGAGCCCCACAGACAAGAAAACAGCGAGGCCAGGGTGCGGGCCCCCAGTAGGCCGGCCACGTGTACCGAGGTGCTGCCCCGACGCCCGCGGCCCCGCGCTCTCCCGTGGCGGACACCGGCCCGGCTGGCCCCGAGGCGTCCTGCCGACGGCGGTTAAGAGTTAGGAGTTACCTCAGGACCCTCGGCTCTTTGGAGTTTACCGAATGGCCCCCCACAGGCCCACTGTCAAGTCCTCCTTCCCTTTGCCTCCCTCTACCCGTGGCCGGACGGCACGGCGGACTTCCGAGGACTCTAAATCCGCTCGGGCTCCTCCCGGGAACGGGGAGGTAACGGCCGCCAACAGCCGCCAACGGCAGGGACTCAGAAGCGGGAAACTACCCGCTGCGGGGCGGGAGGGCGGCGCGGACGCGGTCGCAGGTCTCGCGCGACGCGAGGCTTCGACAACCCCGGCGCTTCGCAAGTGGGCGGGGCGGGAAGGGCTAGCCCGCGAGAGCAGGGACGTCGGCGCTCCCGCCGCTTCCGGGTCTCCACGAGCTCTTCCGGGGTGCGCGCCACGCGGACGGAGTCGGCGCCTGTGGATAGCTACAAATGCGTAGGGGAAGGTTAGCGCCGAAAAAGAGCTGTAACAACTTTAGCCGACAGTAACGTTCGGGTGGGCGACAGCAGGACCCCTCCAGTTAGTCACGATCAAGCTCCAGTGCTCAAGCAAGTCAGCGTCTGCTCTCCGCCCGCCCAGAGAAGCGGAATCCGGGAAGCGGGGGATCAGGGCGCTACCTCAGCATCCCCGCCCCCACCCGTGGTAGCGAGTACTCGGGCACGGCCCGGGCGCCCCATTAGCTAGCGTAAATTCACTGGGCGCAGAAGACACGGCTTTTCTGCACTCTCGCCTCCGGGAAGGTCTCTGCTCCTGGTTGTCTGGAGTGAGTCTGGCCTGAGTGTGAATTCGGTCGGGCGGGCTCAGCACACCTCGAGCCTCGAGGGTCAGGAGATGAACACTGTCGGCAAAAGTCATAATGATGCCCTGTCCGTTCAATGGGTCAGCTGAAGCGGGCTCCCTCGTGTTTGGGCGATGTGTTGAAAGTGGGAGTAGATCCTCCTGAGGTGATCTCCTTTGTGAGCTTGAAATTAACTGGACACACCTGGCGCCTTTACTTACAGTTGCTCCTTTTCCTTCAGAGCATTCGTCTGTCAACCAAGATCAGTTGTCTCAGGGCCTACTGTGTGCTCAGATCTTGACCAGGCCACAGAAGGCCAGGTTCCTGCCCGTGAACCTGGCTCAGGACTTGGGAGTTAGCGCGTTAGTGGAAGAAAGGGAGGGGGCCCATTAAAATTACTTATTCTGCTGCACTTTTTTTCTGGAATGACTCAAAGTCACCCGGAGGAGAATATAATATTGCACGTCTGGCCTTAGGCTCGGCTTCCTTTTTCTGACCCTTTCTCAACCCGGCTTTCCCTCCTCAGGAGATTTGGAATTCCCCCTGCGGAGGGTGGGTGGGGAAAGAGCCAGCCCAGGTAAGTATGGGAACCACATGGTATCGGGAATGGACAAAAGGAAATCATCGCCAAATGCAACCAGGCAGGTGGGGGTAGATTGAAGCAGAAAGGGAATAGGAAATGTGAATAACCCCCAAGGCAGCAGACTCCGGTGGTGAGGTGTGAGAAACAGTCAACATTTGGAGCTCTGGAGTCAGAAGATTTTTGGCAGCTGTTAGATAACTTCCTGATCTGCAGTAAAGTTCACGTGACCCAGAGGATGTTTCCGGAATTCCGTTGCCTGGCTACCTTCCTCCCTTTCCAAGTCTGCAAGCTTAAGAGATTTTACTGGGTCCCAGTTGAATGGTGGTGCTGGCCAAATACGAGCCCAGGAAGAAGTCCTGACCTCCTACAGGGGCAGCCCCAATCTCACTCACCTGTTGCCTACCCATCTCTCAAGGTGACATAGAAGCCCCCGTTTCCAGCCGCCAACCTGTCGGTTCCGGACACTCCACAAACGGTCCAAACTGAACATTTTTTTTTTCTATTTATGTATACTTCCAAGAGTCTTCCACTGCCTCGGCGCCCTCCTGCCCCATCAGCAGGAGGAACGCGGTTTTCCATAATTAGGGCGTGACCAGTATGGAAATATATGCAAGGTGTTTAACTCTCCTTAGTGAAAAAATTTTAAAGGGATCCTGGCCCGCAATGCAGGATTCCCTGGGAAGCAGCGCTTAGTTAGCGGGGCGAAGCACCCGCCAATCCTGAACCCTTCTCTGCGTGGGCGAAGGCGGAGGAGGGGCTGAGGAGCCCAGGCCCACGCGGCTCCCTACGGCCCAAATCCCTGGGTTCTTCCGGGGCCAGTGTAGTTGTCGCCTCTTGGTCCCTGCGGCCAGCTGGCCCTCGCATCGTTCCCACTCCCAGGCCCCCTGGTCACGCACGTGGGGCCTGGCCCGCCCGGCAGGTGGATAGGAGCTCTTGCTCCACGGGCATCGCGAGTCCGGGTTTTTGCGCAGGTTCCGGCCGGCTTGGAGGGATAATCCTCCGGGGCGTTCTAATGTGGGCTTTCCAGACGGGCAGCGAGAGGGTTATAGAACAGGCTGGAGAGCAGTCGCAAGAAAGCAAGGATCAGACCTCGCCCGCCGGTCGGAGAATGTAAATTACGCGGCAAGGCGCTTGTGAGACCCAAGGGAAGGACCTGGAGACCCCAGAGTCGCGGGTCGAGGGAGGGAAGCCACACCTCGCGGTGGGAAGAGGGGATGGCAGTTCTGTCACGTTTCCCGCGTTTCTAGGAAGAAAGTGCGGTGATTTCCCCGAAGATGAATAAATACGCAGCGATGAGGATCACCAGGGCTAGGAGGAAGGAACTTTCAAACCCTTATTGGGCATATGTCCCCATTTTTCAAACGCGAAAACAACCCCGGCGAGGCCAAGACGCTGGCTTAAGCTCATAAAGCCAGTAAGTCCAGAAGCCAGGATCCAGCTCAGGTGCACCTGGCCCCAAAATGCATTAAGGCATTTGCCACTCAGCCTCTGGCAAGGGGCTCAGTCTGGATCGTCGCTACATTCCTGATTCTACAAGAGTCGCAGATCTGTCCGAACTCTTGAATGCTTTTGGGGGCGGGGGGCGGTGTCATCCTTAGCAAAGGAGAGATTTACTTTAAACCTGCCTCTCGGAGGAAGTGGTGGGGGGGGGGTTAGTAAGTCTTCTTAAGTATGCCAGGGACGTCTTCTATTTCCGCCGACCATAAGCACGGTGTGGTCGAACTGTTTCACGTAACTGCCTTCCAGCCCCGCACCACTGCACACTCAGCAGCTCACAGCCCGCCGCCGTCGTGCGCCTCTCCGCCGGCACGGAGTGATACCGAAACAGCAGCTGGGGACGTTGTCGCTGGTGCCAGCCCCACTCACAGCCACCGCGCAGAGCGCAGCTGCACTGGCGTGCTCGCTTGGAGCCATTTCTTTTTGGTCTTGGCTTAAGAAATCATCCTGACCATGAATAACTGTAATAAGATCACTCTGGCACCAGCTGTCCGGAACGGTGAGCAGCCCAGAGGCTCCCCTGGGACGGCCGGCGCGGGCACCCCTCCGGTACCTGGTCGGTGAGGGCCTCGCCCGGACCTGCCCACACCACCACCCCCCCGGGGCTTCCCCCCACAACCAGGCCGCGACCCCAGCTTTCCTACCACCGCCCGTGGGCAGAGCCCTCCAGGAGGCCAGCCGCGCTGGAAAGCGCCCTTCCCACGCAAAGAACCCCAGAGATACTGAGCAAGGGAACTGCGCGCTAGAAACCGCGTGGAGAAACCCAGCGAAGTGGAGACAAACAAGCTTTAACTCGGGTTGTTGGAAACGCAGGCAAAATTCCGAAAGCCCTTCGATTTTTGTGCACAATTGTTTTCCTTTTGCTTTCCCTCTCTTACTACAGTTTCTGGTTCTTTTCATCTCCTTCTTGAATTTCTTGATTTTTAGAGTTTCCAGACTGCCAGAATCCCTGACAAGCGAGGAGATATCACTTCCAGGTCGCGGCATCCTGCTTGGAGGCGGGAAGATCAAGTTCAACTCAAATTGGCAACCTAGTCTCAGTCTCTGCTCAGCCTCTTGGACTTGGGGTTCCTAAAGTTGAGTGTGGCCCACCAGCCACAACTAGGGGCAGAAACTATACCAGAGGATGATAGAGGAGAAATACACCAGTGCACTGCGGCTTTCTAACTTGGTTTGTACTTGTCTATCAGCCTTGTTTGTCACCAGAGTCAGATCATCAATCATTGTTTATTAAACGAAATGGTGGGATAGAGGGGTTACTTACTACTTGGCGTTTAGGAAATCATCATGGTCACTCCCTCTCTCCCACTCCCCCCATGACTGTAAAATGAATTAATATACCCTGCAGGGTTAAAAATAAGGACCACTCATTTGGTTGCCTCCAAGCTTGGAACACTGCTCCAGGGGAAATGAGGGTCCAGAGCTCTTAGATTAACCAGAAGTTCAGGAACTGCCCCAGAACTTCCCCACCGTGCCCAAAGGGAAGAGAGGGCTCAACAGGGATGAGTATGGCTGCAGGGACTCTTTAAAACAATTTGTCCTGTGTGCACCTGGAGTCGCTACTGTGTGCAGCAGACTGCCCTGAGGAGAAGGATGTGGGTTCCTGCTCCATGATTCTTCCTGCCCAGGCTCAGCATCAGGAGAGTAAAGAAAGAGGGAAAGGAGAAAGTAACTAGAGGATGGAGAGGATCTGGGCTGGGACTGTCTTTGTAGGAGAAGAGGAAACAGAAAGAAATGCTTCCCTAAGCAACTCCCAATCCACAGTTGCCTCCTGCCACAGGCCCGCACACCCTCCTCCCTTGCCTTCTGGCTTTGCCTTTTCTCTCTCACTCTCTCATCCTACCTTCCGCACAATGCCTCAAATCCAAACTCTAGGCATTTTCTCAAGCAGTCACCAGACCGCCTCTCTGTAGATGGAAGGGGAGTCCAGGACACCACGAGGCAATGAGTGCTGGGAGGTGGAGGGACACAAGTAACAATGTTTGGGAGCTGGAGCTCCTGGGGTTTCACTGCCAGAAGTTGACACGTGGGTCTCCAGAGCCCCACGGTCAAGTCCTCCCCCCAGCTTAGGGGTGGGTGGTCCCTTTTGCTCACTGGACAGACTCTAACCTCTGGCCCTGACAAGTGGAGAAAGGGCAGAGGTGGCCCTTGGAAGTTAGGAGCCGTGTTAATCCCTTCCCAGGCCTCCCCAGGCTGAAGGGGAGAGCTCTGGATTCAGCTGAGATATTAGTGGTAAAGCAGAAACAAGTCCAGTGAATTTGAGTTTAAATCTTCTCAATGCCGGTGTGGTGGGGCAAGAAAAGTGACACTGAGGGACATGTGTGGTGGACTCTGGGCTCCCCTGGCTGAGTAAGGGAGTCTGGTAACTTTGGCTCTCATGGGTATTTTGGAGGAATAGGTATAAAGGCCCTACAGCCTGTACAGTGCCCAAAGCTTCACGTCCCTGCTCCCGAAGTTCCCATGGCCTCAATCACCCTCTAGGAGTGCATGTTAGAGGCTCATGGAAGGCAGCTCAACTCCCTCTCAAGGTCACCTGGAGACCTGGCCAGGCTGCAGGACCCCTCAGTGTGTCATCAGCTCCCAGGATATTGCTAGAAGCACAGAATGGTAGTGAGGGCGCCTGGAGTTTGTTTGCAGGCACAGATTTGTGGCTCCGGCCAGGTCCCTCGTCTCTGCACCTCAGCTTCCTTGCAGTCACACAGGGTTTGGAAATACTCCTCTTACAGTTTGTGAAGATTAAACAATATGCAGCCTGCAAAACGCTCCACACATAACAGGCTCTCCTTAGAAGTTAGTTCCTCCCCTCACCCCACCCACCCCGTCTCCCTAGGTAGAGGGCAGGCAGATTTCATTACCCCCCTTGATGGAAGAACTGAGGTGGGGTCCTGGAGGAGGGGCAGAGAATCACTCTTACCTTCCCTTAACTTTTCAGATTGAAGCCCCAGGGCCACTGGCCTCAGTCCTGCTCAGGTGGCAAACCCAGGTCCCTCCCGGCCC